CCGTAGAGTTAGAGATGGTAATTTGGTAGCGTGTTTACCCAACTACAGGTAATCCCAATGGGTTTGGCGTATTTTTGATGATGACTCTCAGGTGTTTTAAAAGTAATCCCGTAGTCACAATGAAAGAACAATAAAAAGAACATCACTGGCTGACTAAAAAGGCAACATAAAAAGAGCATCCATATTATACATTTATTACGCACAAATCTTTCTGAACATAACCAATATACATGACAACACACCATACACTTACTTGATACACAGAGAGGCAACCCGCCACAGCACGAGAAGCACCAGTCAGCCAGCTAAAAATCCAACGATCTGTCACCACACAAGATAAAGCCTCCCCCTCTGACCGTCCTGGCTTGCCCTTTTATGCTGGTGGCTTCCCGCGCTTGGTGAAATTTTACCCATAATGCCTTTCGTTTAATTTATTAAATAGTGTATGGCGAGTTAAAAATAATCTTTAAAATACATAAAATAAAAAGAATAATAAAACTATACAAAGATGGGCACATAAAAAAAATAATAGACAGGAAAGTATGAAAACTTGAAAGAAGGGATCCGTGAGGGAAAACGGGAAAACACGAAGAGAGAAACAGAGCTAAGGTGAAATAGTCGAAGGCAAAAAGGCAAGAATAAGACAAGGTAAGTATGGAACATAAGGTAAGTACAAGTAGTGTTACGTATAGTAGAAGTAGTGTAGATGTAGGTGCAGATCACGGACCAATGAAAGGTAAGTCAAAGAGTATAAAAACACAGATTTATTCTTATAAAAGACACAAGCAAATAAACACAGGAAAAACAGGAAAACCACGTCATCTTGCAGGGCGGAGGAATCCGTAGATTATCTATAGACAACCGTAACGTCAGGGGAACAGGCGGCCCGGAAGGCTGCGGGAGGACCCGCCTGAAGCCAAGGGAAATTCACTACAGTTGGCATTATCTCTGAGGGAGCTGATTTGTTCTCTATGGCATAATGTCAAAAAAATAACCTCTAAGGTGGTAACTGGCAGTTCGTGTTGCCACATTTGTGTGACGCGAAAACCGGCTGTTTGTGACACAATAGCCATCGAATGTTAGAGAGGGGCATTCGTTTTTTAAAATTTCACCAAAACCGGACATTATATGGTCCGGTTCTGGGTCTCTGCCGACACCGGACATAAAACGTCAAAACCGGACTGTCCGGACGAAAACCGGACATGTGGCAACACTAGTATATATATATATATATATATAAATAAATAAATATATATATATATATAAATATATATATATAAATATATATATAAATATATGGTTAAAGTTTACAAAAGGACCGCACCGACTAGGAGAAAATTGAAGATCATAGCGTTGTAGGCAATGAAAAACTACATTGACTGATATCAAAATCAATTTGCAGAAGCCTACCGATTCCAGTTAAACGACGAAAATAGATCGGGGTGAGTTCCGCGCTGCGGCTAAGTCCACTCGGCTAACAGGGGTTAACAGTTCTCGCGCATTGTTAACCCCGACTGCTCGGCCACTGCGCACCTACGTCACATGACGTCACGACGAATCGTGTATTCCATTGTTTTTTTTAGCTTTTCATACGTTTCTAATCTTAATATTTTTCTTGCATAAACATAAGATGTTATTTAAAATATTTTTTTCTATTTCATATTGACCTTGTTTCGTCAATTAAGGCCTGTGTTTATTTTTTTTAACAATGATTTCATTTCATACTTTGCGCGCGTAAACGAAGGATGGCTACTTTGACAGCCGGTCAGTTTCAAGTATGACTAACCGGTGTCAAGACTGCGAAAGTGGCTTTGGTGTCTTTTTCAAAAAAATTTCAGGTGAAACTGAAGAACTGATTCGCTTTTGTAGAGCACATGGCCTTCTTCTAAATACTATAAAGTGTATAAAGTGTGGGGCAGACTGCCGAACTGATTTCAACAAAAAACAATTTAGATGTGACAAGTCTAAAAAAATACACAATAGGCGTGTAAGATGCCAGTTTCAGAGGTATGTAAAGGTATGTAAAATGATTATGGCGAATCTAGTGTTCGAGAGGGGGTTCGTGGCGGATCCCCCTGCTGCTGAAGCACAGCGATCGGGAGGGGGTCCGGGGGCGGAGCCCCCGATAGGGAAATACGGCGATCGGGAGGGGTCCGGGTTAGGTTAGGTTAGGTTAGGTTAGGATAGGTTCATTTTTCTACTTTCTTTATCTTTTGAATTACGATTCTTGGGTCGGGTTTTTCATTTTTCCACTTTCTTTATTATTTAAAATTACTTCATGGAACTTTATTGTTGCTGTTTATTCGCAATCTCATCGATATTCATCCGCCCCCCCAAAAAAAAACCCGGTTCCCCACGGGATCCCCCAAGATTGTTGGCTGGAGTTCGGGACTTGGTCTCCGACGGGTGCGGTCCTTTTATAAACAATTACCATATATATATATATATATATATATATATATATATATATATATATATATATATATATATATGTATGTATGTATGTATGTATGTAATATTGAAATATTGAGGAACACTGTAGAATGCCATAGACACCCCTAAAATGAAGAGTCTCTGTGATAGAGCAATAAATCCGTTTTCTGTTGAAAGTCTCGTCCCTGACTCAGTAAAAAGGAAAAGCTTAATTTTTCTCCTCGCGAGTTTCATCGGTGTGTTATCAGTGCTATTGTTATAATGCGATAGCAATAACAACGACAATATCAACAAAAAGAACAATGAAAAATAATGATGAGTGTACAGTGAAATAGTAAAATGATGATGACAATAATAATAATGCCATTAGTGGCTGATCCAGCAATCAGTGAGGCACCACCTTTCACCGAAGAGGTAAGCAGGGCCGTCTCTAGGCTGAAGAGTGGATAGGCTGCTGGTGTCTGATTGATTGCTGAGTTGTTGAAGGCAGGTGGAGAAGCCATGATCTATGGTATTCATGCATTCCTGTCTGCCGTTTGGGGGACTGGTACCATTCCCCCTGACTGGAAAAGGGGCTTGGGCATCCCTATCTGGAAAAGGAAAGGGGACCAAAGGGACTGTGGCAACTACAGAGGTTGCTCAGCGTACCAGGCAAGGTCCTCGCTCATCTGCTTTTGGCACGAGTGCGCGACCACCTACTACGAGCACAGAGACCTGAGCAGTCTGGTTGATCTCAAGAAGGCTTTCGACTCAGTGCATCGGGAGAGTCTCTGGAGCCTACTGGGTCTCCGTGGGATCCCCCCTGGAATTATTGGTTTGCTGTCTGGCCTGTATACAGATACTGAGTGCTGTCAAGTGTGGGGAGGGCATCTCTGCCTTCTTCCCGGTGTCTGCCGGGGTGAGACAGGGATGTGTCCTGGCCCCAACCCTTTTCAACACTTGTATGGACTGGATACTTGGCCGTACCGTGAACCGTAGTTTCTGTGGTGCATCAATTGGTTATTTCAAGGTCACAGACCTTGACTTTGCCGATGATGCAGTGATTCTAGCAGAGACATTGGAGGTCCTGGAAGTAGCTCTCGAGGCGCTGCATGAGGAAACAAAGTCGTTGGGACTCTCGGTTAACTAGACCAAGACCAAGGTTCAGGAATTTGGGGACTTATTGGATGTCGATATTCAGTCTGTGCATGCCTGTGGCGGTAACATTGATAACATAGCTTCACTTATCTTGGTTTTGTAGTGCAGAGCGACGGAGGTTCCGACCGGGGAGTCACTCGACGACTCGGTCTGGCCTACGGCGTTATGGACTCCTTCAATAGGAGTATTTGGCGCTGTCGGTATTTGACTAGAACTAAGATCAGGCTCTTCAGAGCACTGGGGATCCCGGTCTTACTCTATGGGTGAGACCTGGACACTGAACTGTGCTCTGAAGGCCCGCCTTGACTCCTTTGGTAGTAAGTGTCTTCGCAGAATCATGGGGTATATCTGGAGGGACCATGTGTCCAATCAGAGGATACTCCGTGAGGCTGATTCAAGACCTATTACCCGTCTGATATGAGAGCGCCAACTTCAGCTCTTTGGGCATGTGGCTCGTTTTCCTGAGGAAGATCCGGTTCATAGGGTCATCTCTGAGACGGTTGACCCAGGCTGGAGAAGACCAAGAAGAAGGCCACGGAACTCTTGGCTTCAGTAAGTCGACCAGATCTGCCAAGATGTGCTGGGGGTGGGAAGGAGGGTTGCTCGGAGGGACCCCAGGAGGAGGAGGCAAAGGTTGGCGTGGCAAAGCGCAGCCATGCGTATGCCCCCCTATGATGATGATGATGAATGATTATAATGGTAATGATAATAATAATACCAATAATAATAATCGTACTAAAGATGATAATAATGATGATAAGATAATAGTAAGGATAAAATAATAATAGCAATTGTTATTACCATTATTATCATTATTATTATATTATAATAATGATAATAATAACAGAAATAATAATGATGGTATTAATGACACTACCAATAACAGTGCTACTTATAATAACGATCTTTCTCACAATAATAATCAACACAGAAATAAAGATATTGATAAAAGAATAATAATCATAGTAGCAAATCATAATAATAAACCAAACTAGAATTGGCAATAAAGCAAGGATGATAATGATTTAAGAGCAATGATAATAACAAAGATAATGAGATTAGTAATAGCATTATGATAATGATGATGAAATTATTTTCCTTTGTAAGGCATAATTTTTTTTTTCCCAACATGTTTCATCATATTTTCTCTTCTTTATCATAAAGATAATTGCTACTTACTTATCAGTGGCAACCAGTTTAAAATATTGAAGGCGATAAAAGTGACGGTAAAATCTTGAGGCTCTGGAACATCAATAGTGATGCAATACAAAACTGCATCAATTATTTCGATGCAGTAAGACAATGTAAGGAAACAGAATAACAAATAAACAAACATAAGAAAAAAAAATATATATATATATGTGTGTGTGTGTGTGTGTGTGTGTGTTATGTGTGTGTGTGTGTATGTGTGTGTGTGTGTGTGTGTTGGT